ATAGAAATACCAAAAGCTACCCATCATCTTTTTTCGGATTTATCTTCTTTTTATGATTCAAAGATTTCAGAGAAAAGACGTGTTAGGAAAATCTCATGAATATAATTTCTTTGTTCGTTGAAGACAGTACTACTCACCTTCTTGCTAGTGGGATTTGTTTTAAATATCGAAATGAATGGCTGTGCCTTTCGTTATAGCAAAACAATGAAATCAGATCTAAACGTTGTCGTTCATAGTTGTCTACTAACAGAAATTATCATTTTATCCAAACAGAAAAGTAAAATAATTATAGGTTCTATAACCTGCGCGTTGACATTATAAATAATCTTCTGGCAACTGAATAACTTCTTTGGACTCTTGATGGTGTTTCAGTCGATCCATTTGCTTGGCATATAATCCGTAAGAATCTAGAGAAAAAAGGAGATATTTCTTCATAAAATAGTGACTGAAAAATGATTGGCATTGAAGACAGGATTACAGACTTAGTCTGGTACAAGATCCCAGATGTGAGACCACTGTAAAGCCTGAACTCATTACAGGTGGTCTAAATTGTTCATTGAAGTTTCTCGTTGAATGGTGTTTCACAATCAGGAAGATCAAGCAGTCAGATGATGGCATCACTTGAGAATAATCAACATTATACAACGCGGAAAATGAGCAAAATAGCCAAATCAAGCGTTGAAAATTATTTACATCAGCCTGATTATATAAGTATCTTTAATTATCACTTCTACATAAGCGATAAAAATCTTGTTGGATGGAAGTTCTGTGAGTTTCTTCCGGAGAACCAAACGACTGATTCGAACAAGTACTGTTTCCATTTAGATCACCTGAAGGTAGCAGTCGACGAACAAAAAAAGCATTCAGTGTTTGATTTGGTGAGGAGTATATTCAATAAGGAAAACGCTAAACCTCTTTTTTTTTTTTCGGGGGGGGAGCAACCAGACAAAACTTGTTCTTGGCTCGAGATATTGCAGCTCTTACCATTTATTTCGGTTTTTACAGAATTCTCTTTATTCAGTTCCTTGGAAAACTGTATAATTCTCATCGAGTAGTTCTTTGCTGATAAAAATTGAAATTTCTGGGAAAATGGAATTATGAAGTAGCTCAAAAGATGACAGACAATAGTGGAACAAAACGGTAAATACATTGTTCAATAACGTCGATTTTTTTTTAATGCCTTATTTTTACTTCATAAAGCAAATAAACGTTTTACATAACATAATACAAAGCTTAGTTTAATTATTTCAGTCGTAATATTCTCCGCGACAAGCTTGCTAACCACTTTTCCACGACAAGGTACCCTTCTCTGTTAATCTCAAATTAAACAATTTTCAAGTGAGGAGGATTCACTATGCAGTCTTGAAATGTTTTTCCACATTTTTGTTTGTAATTACAGCTTCAGAGCCGGTATCTCTACCTACAGAAAAACTACCAGAACCATCAGAAGTTGTAATTCCGTCAGTTACAATAACACCGGTCGCCATGACGCAGTCTCCTTCACCATCTACGATGACGTCACCTCACAATACAATGGATAGAGGAAATTATACAAAACCGAAACGGCGCACAGAAGAAGGGCGCTTTCAAAGTAAGGGATTGCTGACATTTTTTTCCAACTATGAATTCATTTATTATAAACTGAGAATTTTTATTGTATAATGTTAAATAGGATTAATAGGCAAGAAAGGTGATATGTCTGAAAATATATTTGTTAAATGCTTTCTTCATCTTTTGATTATTGGACTTACTGATGATATTCAGTGACCCCCCACGAGGGTGTCATGTGGCACAAGGCCTTTTTAACGTGGGCATTCCGAGCCCGTGGGCTCGGCCAAAAATATGCCCATTGAACCCGTATAAACAGGTTCAGGGCCGGTCTACCTCCCCGAAGGAGACTCCTCCCTTCGGCGTAGCCTCCTTCGGGTTCCGCCCGTTCGTAGGAAGAAAGTTTAACCGAACAGTCGTTCAGAAAGTACTGGGTCGACTGACAGGAGATAACTTATTGGACTTATTGATATACGCACATAGATAGATAGATAGATAGATAGATAGATAGATAGATAGATAGATAGATTATAACTAAAAAGAATGAAGAGTATACAGATAAATAAACATGAAAACACTGAGATATATTGATATAAACCGACCGTAAAAAATCAGTATACCGTCTATAACGTACATATTTTTATCAAAGAAAAAATTTTATTATTTTTTTTTATTTTTTTCCTTGATCTATAGATGCTGTGCTTCGGACGATGGCTAATCTTGCGGGCTCCAAAGAAGAAGACGCAGAAAATAATCCTTTCCAAATGTTGCAGAAAATGGCCACTGTTATTCTCACCAAAGATGAGATCAAGTCCATCATGCAGTACGTCGCCGAGGTAAGGCTTCTTTCAAGCTTTTTGGTGGAAAAAAACTGCATAGCAACTGATGACATCTGTCAAAATAGCTTAAAGTGGCACGAGAAAAGGTCACGAAACATTTGCTGAAATAAAGAAAACTTAGAGAAAGCCCACATCGTCTATGCTTTCGAAAATTTAGGCTTGAACTACGTTTCAGTTGAGAGAGAAATGCAAGCTAAAACAATGAGAAATTCGAATATTAAAAAAAAGCTCTAAACAAGGCTAGCTCGCTAGCTAGCTAACTAGCTAGATTTTCATATATATATAAATATATTCAGATTTTAATTGAAGCAACGACGAGCCTGGTCAGTATCTGAATGAGCGACGGCTTGAGAATACCAAGAGCTGTAAGCTTTGATATACAGGTGGTGTAATGTACAACGGCTCATAACGAAGAGCCGAGTTCGAATTCCAGTCAGGTTCGTTGCATTCACTTACGCACAAATATGCACGAGCGATCATGAATCGAAAAGAGACATGATGACTCAAGCGTGTAACATCCTCCACGCATCTGAGGAAGGACTACGGCCAACAAAGGAGCTTCACAGACTAAGAAGTCGATTTTCTTTTATCAACACTTTATCTCTCTCTCCACACACACGCACACACAGGCACACACACACACACACACATATATATATATATATATATATATATAGTGGATGAAACATATATTCATACACATAAATTTTTAGTTTATTGTATTTCCAACTAAATAATAAACCTACTTTACATATAATTAACTGTATACAGATGCATAAATATGCATAGAAAACAGAAAAAAATAATTTAATAGAAATAAATCTCATTTATCCATTTTAATGTGTGAAAAAAGTATTCGTACAATGCAAATCTCAGATTTTAAAACTTTTAAATTGCTCTAGATTATTCAAGTGGAATATTCTAGAATGTTTCCATAATGTTGTCAGTAGTTATTTTTAGCCCCCAAAATGCTAACACAACATTCTGTAATAGATGTAATAGATATTCGTGCAAGAGGGTTTTCATCATCGCAAGAAGTAAAGAACTGACGAATTCGCAAAAAGAACTTATTGTTAAGCTCTGGAAAGAAGGTAAAAGCTACAGGAAAATCTCAGACAACCTGAATATTCCATTTACTACCATTAGTTCATTCATTTCAACGTATAAAATTATCAAAACTGTTGAAAACCAAAGAGGAACAGGTGCTCCACGGGAGATTTCTGCAAGATATTCGAGGAAATTAATGCGTCAAATTAAACAATATCCAATGATTACTCGTCAAGAGGTGCAGGATAATTTGCTTTCATCCGGAATCTGTGTCACTGAATGGACAATAAGCAAAGAAATTCAGAGGTAGAATATAAAGTCACGCTCTCCTCGGAAAGCTCCACTGCTATTGAAAAAACACAGGGAAGCCAAGTTGAAATTCGTTCGTGAAAATAAGGATAAGGAAAAATCGTATTGGGAAAGAATATTATGGACAGACGAAACCAAAATTGAGTTGTTTGAACGTAATTCTAAAAATCATGTATGGATGGCGATGTCTTCAAATACAGCTCCAACAATGGAATTTGGTGGTGGCCGCATAATGGTTTGAGGATGTTTTTCTGCGTATGTACTGGCAACATATTAGTAATAGATGGTAGAGTGAATGCCGTAACACATTACAATATTTTGGAAACAAATTTAATGATTTCGATTGCAATCTTGAACTTCCTCTTGATTGGATCTTTCAACAGCATAATGATCCTAAGCACACTGCAATATCTACAAAGAAATGGCTTGCTAAATGTAAATATCCTGAAATGGCCAAGTTAGTCCCCAGATTTAAATCCAATCGAGAATCTGTGGCCTTATTTGAAAATTCAAATCCAATCGAGAGCTTCAACAAACATCCAGGATCTGAAGACCATATGCAAAGAAGAATGGACTAAAATACCAACTAAAATTTGCAAATCATTAATTGAGAACTACAATGTTGCTGTAGGAGTGAATAATGGCTATTCTACAAAATATTAAATGAATATTATGTATTGTTTTTTGTATTGCACGAATACATTTTCACCCATTAAAATGAATAAATTTATTTCTATGAAATCGTTTTTCTATTTTCTATTAATATTTAGTCATTATGCATCTGTTTATAGTTAATTATTTGAAAAGTATGTTTATTCATTAGTTGGAAATACAATAAATTAAGAATTTGTATGTGTACGAATATTTGTTTTCCCCAGTGTATATATATATATATATATATATATATATATATATATATATATATATGATAAGTCACTCACCTGTTCGGGAAATTTGACATAAGCAGTAAGGGCTTTTGTCGCAATATTTTATGAAACATTGGGTTTGAAAGGAAGCATCAGTAACTCATTTTTTGATCAAATGTCCTAAAATCTTCACTAACATTATATATATATATATATATATATATATATATATATATATATATATATATATATATATATATATATATATATTAGGTATGCATAAAACTTTACAGGGTTATCTCATTTTCGAAAACTACAAAATGAATATATAGTAGAAAAACATTTTTAATAAAAACGTTTAGAATTTTTACACGTGCCTAATATATGTGCAGAGAAGTTCCCGTCCTGACAGACGTTGCAACATAATATCAAATATCATTATTTTTCAGCTCCTCACTTATATATATATGTGTGTGTGTGTGTGTGTGTGTGTGTGTGTGTGTGTGTGTGTGTGTGTGTGTGTGAAAAATAAAATACATAAAAATATGCGAAATGTATTTCGTCATCCACTTTTTATATATATTTTATATATATATATATATATATATATATATATATAATTGGAGTACATATTAGCCACCATGTTGATTTTAAGCCACCGAATTTTTTCGTTCGACAAAATACCCATTCTCACTTCACAAGTAGTCAGTATATCATGTTCGTGAAAACGATTTGCTCGGGTTTCTTGCTTTTCTATATTTTGTCTAATCATCTAGGTAACATCTATAAATCTAGGTACATCAGTGAATACTTATTTCTCTGTTTTCGTTAATTCCAGCCTATGTCTGTTCATATTTATTTACGAATTATCTCGATGTCTCACAAGTAACCTGGCAATTTTCTTCACATTGATTTATCTATGAAAAGAGAAATTGATTTAAAGGAGACATACCTCAATTGGCTCTTCTTTCGGCTCGTTTATCTATTCCTATCAGTCTATCTCTGTTCATGTTTATCTATCTATATATCTCACTCTTTTCATATTCTTTGCATTCTGTTTTTAGCTGTCCTTTTATATCTATCTATCTATGTATCTATCTATCTGTGTCTTTTCATGTCGATATTAGTCTTGTAACATCTATGTCACTCTATCTCAGTCCTTTTACATCTATCTATCTATCTATCTATCTATCTATCTATCTATCTATCTATCTATCTATCTGTCTGTCATGGGTCCTTACCTATAACTACAAAATGAACTCTTCCTAACGCTATGTATACTACGCCTCTCAAAAGAGAGGGTCGAATCGAGTCGAGCCGATAGTAGTTCACTCCAAACCAGACTGACAGTCATACTAACACCTTCCACATCTTGTATTATTATTTCGTGTAATATACCTTCGTTATTTCTACTCTTGTGTTCGTGGTGTTCTTCCTTGGTCCTAATCTGGGCCATAACACTATCTATCTATCTATCTATCTATCTATCTATCTATCTATCTTCATCTTTTCATACTTGTCTTACACTTTCACATTTCTATCTATCTCAGTCTTTTTATCTACCTAGCAAGTTAGGTTGTTCATTCTCTCCATAGCTATCTTTGTATGTATCTAGGTTTGATCTCGTCTATTTTAGACTATTTAGATCCATCTGTTTATCCCAATCTATCTTTTACTTTGTAGTACATGGAACGAAATGACGTAGAACATTTGGTAAGCCGGCTTTTGGGAGTATTGAATAAACCTGAGAAGCATTTGTTGTTAAATCAAATCAGGTATGTTTTAACTTGCAAATTCTACGTCCTCGAATATGCTTATATTTACCTACTAAGCTTACCTGCTCAAATATATTTCTTTTTAGGGAATTGGTTTCACCGTTTGATCGTGGTCGTTTTGACAGCATGTTGTCAGTTCATGAAAATATTAACTTTCAAAAATCCGATTACAGAGAAAGATTTAACGAAAAGGGGGAGAGAGGAAGGCGTCCCGGTCTAAAAGGTAAGGACATAGTCATTTCTGTTATGATATTTACATGAGTTAATCATTGGTATTTTGGTTAATTCGGGCCATTGTTTTTATTTTATTGCTTGTCTCTATCACATATCGGCCACTATGCTGTCCCATTGCCCAGATATATCTCATCAAAGTAAAACTTCCACTGGAAGAAAATATGACAAGGACTACATGTGCAGCATAACCTGCAGTAGTTGAGATGGATAGATCAAGAGAGAGAGAGAGAGAGAAATCCGGGAGGGAGAGTAAAACAATAACGTTTCCAACATTCTTCTGTACATTAACTACTGTCCAAAATAAGCATACAAGCCTGTAGCCTCGTAGAATAATGAGTTAAGGCTTCCTTTTATATGTGCAGAGAGAAAACGTATTCATCTTTTCATTTTCTATATAAACGGTAAAAACGATAAAATACAGTAGTGTCTTCTGTCTGTGCTTGTGTCGCTTGTGTCTGTATGTGTGTTTGAGAGAGAGAGAGTGAGAGAGAGAGAGATTGGGAAGAGAGGAAAGAGACAGAGAGAGTGGGGAGAGAGGAAAGAGACAGAGAGGTGGGCGTTTCGTCTGTTGCCAGGAAATCAGCCTCTTATGAGGAAATTCTAAGTTAAGCGGAAATTCAGATATGTAGGCCACTAGTGCAACGCTGAAAATAAAGTTCGGATTCAAATGCTTGCAATTGCATTAAAATGCATTATATTATCAATTAGACTTATTGAGCCCTTCAGTTCGTATGATGAGTGTAAATCAATTGAAAGCGGTTATTCTCATTATATTTTAGGCTTAAAAATGTACTCATGTAATTTTGTCAATAATACTTTAATTAATTCTTGACCACTAACTTCCCCATTTTCAATACATTTTTACATTATTTTATATAATCCCATTCTGTCAACAATACTTGACGACTGAAAAATAAACTTCATTTTCAATGCACAACACAGATTTAGTGCTGAAATTTGCTAAAACAAATTTTTGGTTCAAATATTATAGAGTTCTGTGCTTAATTATCAAATTGTTCCCTTCGGCCAGAAGTATTTAATTTACTTGTGCAGAAAATAACTGAAGCTAAGCAGGATGATGGTTAGATAGAAGTTAGTGAGCAATGGTAAGAAAATCTGGCATATTGCCTATGTATAACAGGCTCAAATGCATCATCATTATCATCATCATCATCATCATCATCATCATAGGACTTATGACCAGGTGTGATTGTTGGGACATTGCGCAACTGAACACCTGACCGGTTCACATATCTGGAGAGGTATTCCTTCATGTGTAACGTGTCTTATGCAAGTAGATCTGGCGGGGTCCATCACGCTCCAGGTCGACTTGAAGGCTCGGTTTGGTCATGGATACGTGGCCATTAATTCCATCGGAGAAACCATCCATCCTAGCCTTTGACTTCAATTTAGGAATCGCATACCCTAGCGATAACGTGTCATCGCCGTACTGACTGCATACGTAGCTATGGCGCTCAGGCGACTCTATTGTGATTGTGACCCTACACAAAGATCCATCCGCCCTTTGACTGGTCTTGATTTTTAATCTTGCTTGGTGTCTAACCATACTCCTCACCAGAAATGGCTGTTATCAGTGCCCTGATATAAAATGCTTGAAAGTTTCAAATGCAGTCGGCGCTAAAATAAAATCGTTATTGCTGATTTTTTTTTCAATCCCTAATGCCTGAATTAACTGTCACAACATATTTAAGAATTAAAGTGAATAAAAAATTATAATAATATATCTTTTTTCCCCAAATTTCACTCAGTAGAATACTCGAGGGGATTATAATCGACAAGGTAATGATAAATGAAATGTGTGATATGAATGGAACAAAAGGTGGTAGGAAGTAGGGATTACGAGAATAAGGATTAGAGATAACGATTGACTCTTGACTTGATGAGGTCAAGACTAAAGGATTCATGGAAGTACCGATGCAGGGGTCTGTTCCACAAAGTGGCAGTTCTTGGGGGAAAAGCTATCTGTGGGGAGGTTTCTTCTTACTCTTACCTTTGGAATACGGATGAAATGAAAGTGATTCGACTCCGTGGATGTAGCATGGTGAGTCCTAACTGTTAAGATTTGAACTAATGAAACAAAAGAATGGAGCTCACCTGAACGTTTGCTTTGGAAATAGCAATAGACTATTGACAGGTTTGCAAAGTTGCGTCTCTCTGAAGAGACTTCGTAAACAATTTTGAACACTGTTAAGGCTGGAAAGTAAAGCTTGAACAGACCCAGTTCAGCAAACATTCATACAACTCCAGATATTTTTACACAATTTTAGACTTTCAGCGTAAACGTGTAGCCCAATCAAGAAAACAGCATGAATTTTAAATAGTAAATAGTTATTTTTCAAACAATCTCCTTACTTGTCAGTACATAGCGTTCATTGATGAATATTAATCACATAGATTGAACATTATACAGCGAATTTTGCAGATCGAAATTCTGCTACGTGTCATCTTGCAGATTTATTAATTTTACTTTTTTTTATTCATTTATCCTTCTTATCACTAATGCATAATGAAATTGGACATAAGTCCCCAGATGCACCAACACATACAAAAGACATATACATATATGCTCCTTCCTATGTAGATATAAATACATATTTCTGTATGTATATATATATATATATATATATATATATATATATATATATATATATATATATATATATAGCGGCTCCTACTTAATGGGGATAACTAATTTACTAGTTTAAATTCACTATATAATGTTCAATCTATCTGATTAATATTCATCAATGAATTTTATGCATTGACAGGGAAGGAGATTGTTTGAAAAATAAATATTTGCTATGTAAAATTAATTTATATTATATATATGTGAGTGGAGTTAACAATATTTCTTTTATACATGTTTCTTTGAATGTGACGGACGCTTTTCTAATGTTCTTACGGTTTTCATTTTATGTGTTTTTAGATGAGTGTAGAAATTGCCCTTAGTGATAATTGTAATAATTCTAAACCGTACTTAATGGATGTAGTAGTAGCAATTCTATGTTTGAGTGTCTTTAAAAGATCACCAACACCCTTTTTGCCGTTTTCAGATAAGGTAAAGTTGGGACTTGGCTTAATCCATATCATGTCATCATTAAGTGATAGATCTCAATGCCATAAGGACACACTGCAACGCTCATAAACAACTACTTGCCTCCATATGAAAAATTATTGGAAGTAATACTGTCATTCTAAGAACATCTAAATTTAAAAGACGTCTGAAGATAACTGAAGCACTTTATATAAAGCGTTTTAAACCAAGCCTCATCCTCACCCTATTTTAAGATAGCAAAAATGTGTTGCTGGTTTTTTAAAGACACGGTCAATATGGAATTACTATTACTTCCATTTAACACTGCTTAGAATTATTACTACTTCTACACAAAACAACTTAGAACATAAGCACGTAAAAATATACTAATAACTAGCCCTTTGAAAATGGTTAATGAATTGACCGAAAACGCTTGGAACAATAATCACTTCGTCCCCATAAAAAGGTAAAACTATAAGAACATTACAGAAAGTGAATAAAAAAGCGTATAAAAGTTTTATTGTCCCTCACATTGAATGAAATATATATATATATATATATATATATATATATATATATATATATATATATATATATATATATATATATATATTCTCTTTCTTTATTACTGCTTATGAATGTCTTTTAAATCTTGTGTTTGTTTTCTCAATAGAAGAACAATCTTTATTGGCACGAGTCCAGTGTCGACGCAAGCAGTTGGATGCTCAATTGGAACTTTTGGAAAATCTCAGGAAGATAAAACCAAAAATTTACAAACAGTAAACCAATATATACATTTTTTATTTTATTTTATTTTATTTAACATACTTCTGCAAGTTTATGTTAACCTGGCAATGACATTGGCATTGTGCAGGCTAAGTCTTTCCTTTGTGCTCTCCTATGCTACACAGTACTTTCTTTGACAGTTGTTTATTTCATATATGGTATATTATAATGTGATGAATTACAAGATTTATTATAATTTTTAAATATACTACTGAAAATGGTTCTTTATCCTTTTTATACATTGTTCACTTCTCTTACCTGTGATCGAAATGCGTTTAATTATAAAAGCCATCAACAAAATATGTTAATTGATTTTAAAGCTTAATATCTAAATTAGTTATTCTCATTAAGTAGGAACCGCTAAATTGGTCGATATATAAGACACATGCTGGTAGATATGAATAATAAAATGCATTTATTTGATGCCACAATTGTGTGTAATATTTGTCTATTTACAAAATGGACAGACAATCAACGTCCGTTTAACACAAAGGTAGATGGAATACAAAATTTAAAATTTAAAATGTGTGCAAATTAGTCAAGAAGTAATGTAAGAATAGGTATGTCTAAATGGGGAAGTGGTTCACTTGGAACTGCGCAAGCGACTGCTTTTTAAACATACAGACCAATGGTATATGCACAAATAGGAATATGTCATATAGAATTGAATTCATTAAATCCTCAGGAACTTTGAGATTCAAATGATTCACCCAATCCAAGCCAGAAAACGAGATCTTGTATTTGTAAAAAAGAAGAACACATAACAGTGGAGTTCGTTGATCCTACAGATCACAGACTTGAACTAAACGAAAGTGAAAACTAGATAAATACATCGACCATATCAGAAAAATAAGAAAATTGTGGAATGTGAAGTTGACAGTCATACCAGTTGTTACCAGAGCGCTAGGAAGAGTTCCGAAAGGCTGAGAAAAGAGAAGAAAATCAAGGTAATAATCAGGGTGATGATTCGGACCATCCATATTAACGCGATGCTAAAATTCGCTCGATACAGAGTCGAGAAACGTTAAGACTTGCTATCATTTGCACAAGAGTGAAAGCCACTCTTGTCATAATGATATTAAAACACCTCTAGGAAAAATGACCACCTAAGCTTTAAAGAGAAAAATGGGGACTATATCAGATTTGAACATCTAGGAATTAAAAAAACTATATCTTATATTTGATGTATAAAATGCACATCTATTTTATTATAATTATTGTTTTTAAATAAATTTTCTGGGAGAACAACGCTGGCATCTTTTTCACAACAGGGCACAAGAGATCCTCTACATAAAACACCCAGAGAAAATTTTAATTCTTTTGTATATATATATATATATGTGTGTGTGTGGATTACGATTACAAGTTCTGTAAACTATTAGGATTGTAAGGGCACTATATATATATATATATATATATATATATATATATATATATATATATATATATATATATATATATATATATATATATATATATATATATTGCGTCTTGCAGTAGTGTGTGTGTGTCTATGGCAAAATAATTTGGCGGAGTTAATCTATGTTCAGAATTGTTTTGAATTCCGAGTTGTGTTTCCTCTAGATGGTTGCCTTCCAAGTCCTGTCTATAGAAAGGGAAAAATGGATTCGTGCCTTTCCGTACCGATAACCGTTTCGAAACATTCACAAGGAAAGAGTAGAGAATATGTAGCTATATAGTGAAAATTACAACTTATTGTCAAATAAACAAATAATGTTCCTCTTTTAAACAGATAATTACAATTAAAGCGTTAATACAAGTGAATATAATATTTTTAATAATAATTTTCCACGAGGTTGATTCGATAACATCTGGTTTAATATTGATATAATATTTACTATGATTAATATGTGTTCTTTGTTGTAGCAAAGAGGAAGACTTGAATCTCATCACTGTTTACGTGTCAAAGAATATCAGAACTTTAGGTAAGTTTAAAACTCTGAAATTAAAATAAATCTAAAAACAAAAAATAACGAAAAACTTTTATATTATGTCTTCGAATTTCATAGATTAAGCTTTGTCACTATTAGTAGTTTGAGATTAAGTTTTTTTTAGTACTTAATTGCTGGGTACTTTTTAAAAAAAATTATTTTTAATTTTTTTTTTTTTTTTTTTTTCGCAATTACGATTATCTTTAACTAACCACGATGGGTTGATCAGTATAATTGTAAATGTTTTATTTTTAAAGTTTACTTAAAAAGCAGCAACGGACGCGACTTATATATATATATATATATATATATATATATATATATATATATATATATATATATTACTGATGGATTGTGTTCCTATATGAAACGATATATAAAGATTTAACAAATCGCTTAAAATTTAGTTAAAAATGACAAGACACTGGTTGAATATCATCCTATAATACCTAACTTATGGTCTATCAAAAACACATGAATTAGTTATTACAATGTGAGTCATATCTGAAATTGGAAGTGATACAAATATTAATATTTTATTAGTATTTTTTCTTCCATACTCTTAGATACTTCCTCGTTTTGATTACACACCGGTAAAAAAAAAAGATTTTTTAAAGATGAAAAAGATGAATTGATATTTAAAAATGACAAGATGGGGTGTTTATAAGTTCTTCATCGAACCCCTCTGATACTGCATTTTGTTTTTTCTTGTTACTATTCATTCATTTTTGTTTAATCATTTTTCGTTCTTATAGGAATCAGTGTAACTGGAGGCGCCGATTGTAAGAAGCAGCAAGCTATAGTCATTGAAGAAGTCCACTCAGGTGGCGCTGCAGCTGAAACAAAACGAATTAAAGTAAGGCAAATCAAAGTGTAATGTTCTCAAAATTATAATGTCTGAAAAAAAGAAAGAAAAGAGCGAAAGGAATAAGGATAAAAAGAAAAAGGTAGAGAAAAGAGGAGAAAAGAAAAATTAGGATCTATTGAAAGGAAAATGGGAATAAAGAAAGAACAGAAAAACAATAAGCAAGAAGAGAAAGGGAAAAGAATAAAGAAAGAGGCAAGAATAGAAATAAAGAAAGGAACGAAAAGTAAAAGTAAGAAAAAAAGAGAAACGGAAAGCGAGACAAAAAAAGACAGAGAGAACGAAAGATTTAGGGAGGAACGAACGAACAACGATGGTATGGAAAAAGTGGAAGACGCGGTCGGAGATGGAGAAATGTAGAGCGAAGGAAAGTTCGAATCAAAAAGAAATAAGAGAATATACAGATTGGTATTATTAGGTTGAACTCAATAAATGACCGTTTTATTGTATAGGAATGGTAACGGTAATGATAATAATAATAACCGATTAATAACCGATAGTAATGTTAATAATAATAATAATAATAACCAGTTGGTTAGCACGTTCTATTTCTGACAATGAGATCCGGGTTCGATTTGTCAGGGAGGCGATCCCAGCATGCGGCACCTTTGAAAAAAAAAACATACTAAGACTTGTGAGTGAAATTGGGTAGACAGAACTATTTGGGAGCTGTGACCGTGGGTTTGAGTGTACTGACTTTGTTTAGACTGTTGATCACGCTAGAAAATGCGCGATCTCCCATAAACTGTAACTAAGGTCCACTCAGCATAGTTGCAGTGTAAACCACAGGTGGGCTATGTGGGTGTTGAACAAGCACAAATGTACCTGCAACAGGGGTTGGCTAGCCGTCCTAGTAGACAGGCATATTCGGATACGAGCGGCCTGCCTTTATAACGATAATGGTGAAATTACCGTTTCCATAGAGGTACAATTCAGCATTCATAAACCAAACAATTAACATCAGTAGAAATTTATAAAATCTTTTTCTTAAAACAGTTTTTCCAAAAAATTTGACTTCTCGGGATCCTTAACTGTTATCATAATTTTTCGTATTGATAGGCGTTTCCTTCCTAACATTTTATTTAATATATTGCAGAAAAGCAAAATCTTAAATATAATATTATTTTCCTTTCTTGTTACATGTGCTTCCCATTTTTTTGTTGTTGCTGTTTTGTTATTTCGTAAAGCTATTTGTGATTTTATATCGCCAGTGTATATGATCTGATGAAGGATTGTCTTCTTTAAGACCATAGGGATTCGACCGCTTGAAGCCATTTTTAATCATCAACGATCAACGGTTGTATACAACTGATATTTGAAACATTTCTGAATTAGTTAGACGTCATGTATGATTTCCATACAAGATTCTAGATCCCAACGAGGCAATTTAAGAACATGACTTGAGTTTTCAGTTAAACTGCCACTACCTAAATTTATCCTGTACTCAATTTCCTTATTCCCAATATTAAATTTGTTATAATTTATCCATACACTGAGGTATCTGAAATGTGTATAATTTATTAACTACACCTATATTTTTATGATGGATTCAGGGCATGTGCCAATTCTGTCATCACTATCCTCATTCCAATTCCAAATCATATTTTCTGTTTTGGAAAGGTTTATCTTAAGTTCTACTTCTTAGAACATTTGGTAAAGAGTTGACTTTTTTGTTCAAAAATACTCTCATAACAACTCTGAATACCTGTAGCATCAGCATACACCCCATTATCGTCAGTACACTGGCCTGAATTCTAGAGAGAAAACATCAATAAAAAAAATATTATCGATTTTTTTTTCATGTCGCGCCTTTCTGCTTATACGTACATCTATATATCATTTTAATGGTCTGTGTATTTTCTTTCGGGCTTTGTTTGATGTATTTATTTTTATTCATTTTTGGCATTGAAGTAAATATTAATAAATGCGATTTTTTTCGTTTCATTATGCTCCATAAATTCATACTAGTCTATTGTACTGACGAAGTCAGCCGCAATATTGACAATGTGTACTTAGCGACTGTAATCAGTTTCAGAATGAACCATGCATAGTTTGTTCAAATAATTCGCTTCTGGTAATTTGAATATTCAAGATTAGTCCGGTCCTGGACCCAAATCGTCACTTTTCTGTGAATAATTGGTGATAGCCGTGGAGGCTCATCCACAGATTAGCACTCAATCGTTGGAAGCAAAGCTGTGGTATCCCACACAAAGGTCGAAAGATATTTGGCTCAATTAAGCAAAGTGGAGAAAATGAATAAGTGGGTATCCTATCAGCAGCTTGTATGATTTGACACTTACATCAATTTACTATTGATGAATTGTGGTTCCTATATGTAGCGCTATTTTCTTTGAGTCGATAAACATTCTCTCTTCCTCAGCCTTCCTAAAACCAAATCTTCAATTTTGTGAAAGGTATGAATCCATCCCCAGCTGCAGGTAAAGGTTAACTGGTAGGACTTGTATCTACAAAAAACATCGTTATTCTAAAAGAAAACGTGTGCCTGAAAAAATCATGTTTATTCTCAAAAAATTATCCATGCAATATTTACTCGCAAAAAAAAAAGAATTATTCTTACAACACAAATATGTTTCGGCTTTAAATAGGTCATAATGTTTTAATAAGTAGTACAAAACAATCAATCAATCACAAAATTCAATACCAAAAGAACTCCCTGGTTGTTTGGTATGCTATAATGGAATAATCCTTTTGAAATATAGCCAAATCGTCACAGTTGAGTTATAGTGTTGTGACTTGATGCATCAAAAATTTCAAACTCTTTGGTCAGCAGTGACGAACAAAAGAGGTGTGTATCCTGCTGTAGAATAACGCAAGGCCACATATTTCGCACACCATCCAATACAGTTAGGTATTGAGATCTTCCCCAACCTTCCCTATTTACTGATAGTTCACTTCCAATTAGCACTTTATCCAGATTTTAGATGCATATACATACCACCAGGTGTACAGCAATGCCAACTACATCGTAAGCGCTTTCCAGCAAATTGTGACCCCGATTTTTACCATGTTGGAATAAATTTGCTGCTGAATCTTTCGAATTTTAGTCTATTTAAATGATGATTTGTCTTGAAATCACTATATCAGGAATTTCATCTTCCATTAATTTCTAAAAAATCGATATATTTTCAAAATATATTGTACACAGGTTCAACTTAAGAAGACAAAATATACGTGAACAATGTCAATATGAACTTTGGACATAAATTTGGTACAGATGTGTAGCAATTTTGCTTGGACCGTTTTGCTGTTTATAGGGAATTTTTAATAGGAAATTCAGTATTTGCTTTCTATATATATTCTTATATCAGTCGCTTTATATTCGTGTATATAACCAAGCACTTGCATATTATATTTCACCTATTACGTGTGTGAAAAATAATAAATATTCATAATGCATTATAACAACATTATTAAATAAATTTAAATATACATCACACAGTATATATTTATACAATTCACTACACTACTTTAGAACTTTTTTATAAACAAATATCTCAGATGTTTGACAACTACTTGATCAGTGAATGTGGATGTGTCATTGTAAAATTAACCTGTATGGCTGAAAAATGTTGTCGCGTCATTTGATGTTAAATAAATAATTAGATGGATGCTGGTTTGCCACCGTCATATATTTTGAAATAAATGTGAGGAAGGAACAAGTATGTATAATAAAAAATGTAATTATTACTTTGAAAGAATTACCTTGAAATAATATATGAATTTTAATCAGAAAACACCAGTTTTATGTAGACGGTACTTATTTTAAGCGAATTAGACCTGTTTTAAGCTATTATCCCAAATTTTCATGCAATGGGCTGACTATGAACTATTGATAGGTTACCAAATCCGCTCTGATTTGACCTTTAATTGACGGATATTGTGGCGCTTCTTTCGTTTTCGAGATGGACACAAGATAGCTTTCACTTTTTTTTTTAAATAACATTATAAATTTAACAAAAAAAGGGAATTTTATGAAAATTTCTTCTTTATCCCTCTCATTGATGTGAGTAATAATAATTATTACAACTACTTGCATTGCAAATACAAATGAAAATATGTGTAATTAATATTAAAATTGATAATATTGATACTTCAGCATTTTATATCATAAACCGCTTTTAAAAGGAACCCAACGCGTTTCTAGGTGGTCTAGTATTGTTTAAAAGTTTTTCTGTTTTACGCACGAACAGTAAACAGAATCAGAGATAATGAGTTTGTAGATATATCTATTGGAATGGTTTTCTGTTGATTTTTACACGGATTTGAATCCTGGCATTTCCTCCTCTCCTTATTGCCCTACCAAAACTAGAGAGCCCAATCCCCTTTACTATTTTACCCATAGCTACGGGTATAAGATATGGATTCATACCTTTTCTAAGTGCATCAGCAGTCATTAGTCTGCTGATTTCATTTTTCGCTCTGTTAACTGCTACGCTTCTCGCACATTCTCATCATGAATTACTGCCCTTTACATTTCAAGGGGTTTAATTCATACTAATAAGTACGGAGTTACTTTCCATAATATTCTGTGCAAAATCTCAAATAATGGAGAAAACGCAAAAAGCACGCCATTATCAAGCCAGAAATTAACAAATGGTTCCCTTGAAGATATATATATATATATATATATATATATATATATATATATATATATATATATATATGTAAATAAATATGGATATAGATCCTGAAGAAGGTCTATTGAAAAAACAAACGATGGACATAAAAGCAATTAAACAGATAAAACAAATCTTTTATAATCAGCGTTCCGTTTAAATATGATTTTTCGTCGTTTTTTTGTTGAATTGTATATTTTTTAATTATGTTTTATGAATATGTCCTGAAGATGGTCTATTAGACCGAAACGTCCGACGTACATAAATATTAAAATATATAATATATATATTTTTGTTTGTTTTTCCAGTATATTTTTCTTCATATATATATATATATATATATATATATATATATATATAAGTGATATTCCGCATTTTACTCTATAAAAATCATAAGAGAAGTTAACTATCTTACTATTATTTTCGGTATTCCAAATATAGCTGAATTTTAAGAAAAGAAGTCTCCATAAGTATTTTTTTAAATTTTTTACCTAAAAATTGAGCAAGTTTCAGCACTCAACCTGTTTGTTGTCCATCGAAAATCAAAATAGATTGCCAGTGTTCATGAAATAATAGAAGCGTTATTGAGATAATGTTTTATATAATTTGTTTACAAATACTCTTGTATGGTAATGTTCAGACGACAGTCATATGCTAAGTGTGGAGAATCGTGATAGAAAGGAAAAAGGGAGTAGCGACAAAAAAATATTCTGATTTGTTAAGTTTTTTAGGAAGAAAACAATTTGTGTCAAAGTGTAAAGGAGAAAAGAATAAAGTAACGCTAAAAATCACGAAGGAAAAATAATTTTCTTTACTCATTTTCTTTTTGCCTTTTGCTTTTTTATGAAAAGCTAAAATCCTCTATTAGTGGAGAAAAAAAAAAGATTTTCTTATTTTTTTAAATTTTTTTGCTTTCCTTTTACAAAAATCAAGTAGAATCCTAAGAGATTAAAAAATAATAATCTCTCCCTACTATAAATACAAACTGGGGAAATAATAAAATTTAAAGATACATCGGTATTTACCAGGAACTGTTTTTATGAAATTTCTAATTAACAAAGTTATTTATAAAAATTAAGTTACGAAATATAATCTAATTAAGATACAAAAGTTTTCACTTATGCAAGCCAGGCATCGAACAGATCAGTCATTTGTATCGTGCATGAGTGTTAGATTGATTGAATATTGCTTTTTTTACGGCTTATCGACCTTTTGTAGGTTATTTAAAATCAAAAATTATTTTTGGATGGTAAGAATTTCTATTTTGAGATACTAATGATTTTCTGATATAAGTCCTTCTATTTAACCAATAGCTAGAGGGAAAGTGATAAATTCTTACCTTTCCCAAGGGTATTTGTGCATAATTGAATATAACGAACCCGACTGGAATTCGAACTCTGCTCTCCTATTTGTCAATCCGTCCGTTATACCACCCGTACATCAAAGCGTACAGCACCTACTATTACCAAGCGGTCACGAATATTGGTATTGACCAGACTTGACGTTGCTTAACTTCGGTGATCGAACAAGTACCAGTGTTTCAACGTGATATTACCGTAAGCCTGTGTGCTAGATCAAGGAAGCATCAGTATAAAACGAAAACGAAAAAAATCAGATACGCCAACTTACATTGCTGTAAATATAATTTCTTTATTACTGCCTTTCTGATTCATTATAAATTGAATAAAGCTTAAAAATTGTCGATATCTGCTTATTGAAAATTTCAATTGAACAATCATCACTTTCATGTCTATTTTTCCGCTTAAGAATTTTATAAAACAACTCTTGTCATACCGTTACGTCTTTATATGTATTCTTGTTTTGTTGTCTAATTATATTTTTCGATGCTGAAACTCTGTTTGATTTTTACAGACACATCCAAATCACAGTTTTAAAAAAAACTTATTTATATTGCTTTTGCGCAGCCTGGAATGATTCTTGTCTCTGTGGACGACGAAGATATAGAAGCAGCAAGTCACAAAGCGGCAGTTTATACAATTAGAAAGGCTTTCACTGACCGCAAAAAACCCTACATGAAACTCGTTCTCCGTAAACCTGCCGACGTTGAAAGATGGTCGACATCATGAGTCAGCATTTATTTTTATGTTCTGTTTATATTTTTTTTTCAACATCAAATATAAAATATTCTTAACAAGAGAGTTGAGTTCTGTGTTGTCTTTCTTATTACCAAACTGAAACATATAAGATTATTTCACTCGCTATTCGGATTAATACTAATGAGGGCGCTAGGAAAGAGATAATATTTCCACTTTGCATTTCCCAATAGTTATCCGTGATATAGTAACACCTTAATACACGAAAAATTGGAATGACAAACAAACATTGTTCTCAAAGATATTTTATATACCGCTGTATACATATTTGTTACTAATTTATCCCACAAAGAAAAATCATGGTATATGTATATAGTAAGCAGTGTGAAAAGGGCGAAAACAGAATGGGTTTTATATAATAATATTTTCCAACGGGAAACGGACAGGTCGGTGGTCTCTTCTATATATCTAGTGACGCCGTGTGGTGTCTCTCTGCACTTTATTGTCGTGGGCATGAATGTCTTGCTTCTCTTCTGCCTACATAGCATCTGGCAAGAGCAGACACGTCTTGTCTCGGTGTGTAAGAAATAGCAACCACTGTTTGTCACTCTATGAACTGACGTCACTCACCCGTCGTTACGTGACCCTCATAAATTCTTTATCCGATATCGTTTTCATCTTTTTCGTTTTTATTTCTTTATGGTAAACCATTTTGGTTTGCCAACTTTTAGTTTTCTATTTTCTTTTCTTTTTTGAAATAGCGAACTTTTTTTCTATCACTACAGTATCACAACGCCTGGATAGATAATTTATTTGTCTTTCTTCGCTTCTATATAGTATTCTTTAGAATTAATCTCATAGATGTTGTTTTAATCTCCTCAATAAAAAAAGCCATAATTTAACAAGTTACCAGATCTCGTAGCAACAAAAGAACTTTCAGAAACTCGAAGAACTTATATTTATATCCGTCCCTATACTGACATCTGATAAAGAAAACCAGTTAGTCAAAGCCTAATGATCTGAGCATTATTTACATTGTTTGGTATCCCCTTATCCGCAGTTTTAATTGACACGGTTTCATTTACCCACGGTTAACACTAGAAATAAACAGTTTTATTTATTAATCTCCCAAGTGGAAGATTAATAACAAAGAGAAACTGTAAAATGTAAAGTCGAAAGATCTCGCTTTAATAACGAAAAAGACAACATCATTTTCTGAAGTTGCTATGACAAAAACGAATAATCTATACTTCGCATAATTTTTGTTACAGTATATTTACATCATGCACTGAATGCTTTTTTTTTTCAGGATAAATAATCTTTGTGTAATAGAAAATGAATCACTGATAATTTTTAATATCCTCCTTGCCCTCATGGTATTTTTAAAAATTCTCCTATTTCTTCATGAACCAGCCACATTCGTAATGTAAGCATAGAAAATCTCTGCTTCCGTTTAACAGTCCAGCGCCATTTCTATGCACAGGCACAAAGAACATATAAGAACTAAATGAAAGAATGAGGAATTAAGGTTGAATGAACGAGAAATTAAGTAAATAAAAAGCAGTGGAATAAGCTGCTTCTTCATAAACAAAACATTAACGTTCTTACCAAAATGTTATCGCTCTAACGTAACCAAAATATTAACGTTCTAAACAAATAGATTAATTTGTTTTTCTCATTTTCATGAATAAAGACTTTTTGTAAAAGATGAAGGTATAGTGTGGTACTGGCACTTTCTACAACAAATTGATCGAGGCATTTGCTAAAATGAAGCGAAGTGTTGAATTATAAATTTACAAATAACTGTTTTATATTTGTCATTATTTGTTGATTTTATTGTTTTCTCAGATTTTTCTCGTGACCGTTAACATTCATCATGGACTGCATGCTATGGTTTCAAATTCTTCGCCTCTGGTATGTAATCGTAATGGTGAGATTAACCTTTTTCATACGGGAAACATTCCGCTTTAACTGACCGAATAGTAAACGTTACTGAAGACTGAAATGTGTAAGAATCTTTCTCTCCAACAGTTTTTCAGGAAAATAGGTTTCTCATGCCCAATAGCCGTTATCGTTCTTTCTAGTACTAATGGGGGTTGTTGCGGATTTGATTCAAATCCGCAACAACGAAAAATGCGATAAAGTTTTTTAAAAATAAAAATATGAAATATTTTTATTTTCGTGTTTTTACAACTCGATTTTTCTCAGCTTGTATGAGTTTTTGCTAAAGTTCTTGTGTTAAAGTTCCTTGTTTGTAGTTGTTTGTCAAGATAAAAAGAAATGTGATTCCTTCTTGCATATGTGTGAGAAAAAGGAAGCAAGTGAGGAGGAAAGTGTAAGTGTCACGTAGATCGCTGATGCAAAATGCTGGATGTCACGTAGCTTAACGAGGAAGAGTGTAAGTGTAATGTAGTTTGATGGGAAAGACGTGTGAATGAGTAAAGGAAGCTCTTTGAAGTTGTCTGCGTCTCTTCTCCCTACTGGGTTTGTCCGTCTAGAGACGTTGCTTGTATCCTCTTTAAGGGGATCACGAAGCATTTTTTTATTTAAATATATTTATTTATGTAATAATCTGCAGTTCCGATCTCATTTCTTTTTAATCGGTATCATCCCAAGCAAGGTAGTACAACCACTAACAAGCAAAGGGTTACACGGTGTAGAGGAATTAGAGACAGAAACAACAGTAATGAATAGAAAGAGAAAGATACAACTAGGAGACCAGTAAATAGCGATTGACATTGCATTTAACCTTTTGCAGATTAAAGTTGGCTGAAAAGCATGGGACTGGAAGGAAGTTCCACAGACAAGAGGTGCAAGAAACGAAACTGTCAGCATAGACGTTACGGCTACATCTCGCTAGCTCAACTGTCAATTGATGCGATCTCTTTTTCTCCTCTCTCTCTCTCTCTCTCTCTCTCTCTCTCTTTCACACACACACACACACACACACACACACACACACACACACACACACCTATTTCTGGGTTTCTTTGGCATTCTCGACGAAACTCTCTAAAGAGTGTCATACGCACCCACAGATTTTATGTCAATAAAAAAAATAAATGGTCAAATTCTACGAATACATTATTGATGGTAAGTCGGCAGGTTGATTTACACCCGTATATATATATATATATATATATATATATATATATATATATATATATATATATATATAATATACATTTTCCGCACTGGTTGCAAAATGACTACGTTGTGCATAAAACTCTGAGTTGTGTTACCTATGAGGAAAAAATATATATTTGTTATATATATATATATATATATATATATATATATATATATATATATATATATAGGTAAATAGCAGAACAGACTTGGTTCTATAGACTTGGGAGTCAACCGGTCTAAGAAAAGGAAAACTCTTAATTCATACCTGCCCGGAGATGGTTGCGCTTCGTCAAGCTATCTTGCCCAGGACACACCACTTCTACTGCGGCTGCAGTACATGCGGTGCCCCTACAACTATAATGTGTTACGGGATTCGTGATATATATATATATATATATATATATATATATATATATATATATATATATATATATGGATATATAATATGGCATGGAATTTTTTTTTTTTTTTTATGCGTTTCACCCCAAGCAAGGCGAGGAGCCACTAGGACGCAAGGGGTTACAGAAAATTTGGAGCAAGTTCAGATAGGAGTGATAGAGGAAAAGATGAGGAGAAGTATAGTGGATAGATCAAGGCAACTGGAGATGCCGATTGACATTACATTTGAATAGCTGGAGATTATAGCTATCAGGGAAACTGGAATAGGGAAGGAAGTTCCACAGGCGAGAGGTGCGAGACATGAAGCTATTGGAGTAGAAGAGACGGTTACATTTAGGAGTTTCGACAGTGAAAGGGTGAGAGCGGGATGCCAGCCTCGTAGGGCGCTTGAACTCATGAAGTCTGGGAACCAGCGAATGCAACTCCTCGGAGCAATTGCCATGAAAGCATTTGTAAAAAAAAAAGACAGAGAGAGGCGACGGCGCATCTGTGAGAGAGTGACTGTAGACGAGATGCCAGAACAGGGCCAATTATATTGCATATCCGCCTCTGGAGACTATCAAGAACCCCGAGGCAAACAGAGGGGACTTCAGACCATATATGGCAGCAATACTCCATGCAAGGGCGAATTGTTGATTTGTAGATCCGGAGGATCGATTCCGGGGAGAAAAACTTCCCGGTGTGGCACAAGCAGCCAACTTTCCTTGCGGTGGACGAAGCAATTACCTGAATGTATTTGTTCCATCTCAGATCAGCAGTCAATGTGAGACCGAGCAGCCACAGAGAGGTTCTCTCGAGAAGTTGAGCGTCAGACATTCTAATGGAGGGCAGGGAAGGATCTCTGTGGTGTTTAATAGAGAGCAATTTTGTTTTTGAGGCATTAAAGTTGACCAGCCAATTCCTGCCCCAGTTCACAACCGATTGGAGGTCCTTTTCGAGACGCACGGCCAGGTTAGTTTTGTCAGTGACACTAGATTTCTTTTTGAGGCTGGAGTAAATTGTGATGTAATCCGAGTAGATGCCAACTTGGGAATTTATGGCGTCATTTATGTAGATAAGGAATAGAGTGTGGCCTAGGATGGAGCCTTGAGGAACACCTGCGTTCGTGGGATAGGAACTGGAGGAGAATCCGTTGAGAACAACCTTCAATTCACGGTTTGACAGGAATAATTGTATTAGGCCAAACAATCGACCCGTAATGTCATAACCCTGGAGCTTGCGAAGAAGGCCGGCATGCCAAACCCTACCATCAATAATGTATTGGTATGTTCCCTCATGTCCCTTTCTTCTGGAAACACATGGTCAGCTAGTCACATGATTCAGATAACCTGATTTTTGAAAAGCATTCTTCCTATAAGGCTACCGTCAAATAGGTTATGTAATCAAGCTACACGGTTAGTTGTTTGAATTGTACCGATTTTTTTCGGAAAGCTATTTCTCTGACATTTTTCTACCTAAGAGACCAGACCAGACCGTTGAGCAGGTCTTTACAAAAGCAATTT